GCTGTGACGGAGCAACCCTCAATTTTTTTTAAAATTTTTTAAAAAGTGAAAAATGTTGCGTGGCGTGTGCATTCGTCTGCCTGCATGCATGTGGGATTATTGAAAAAAGTCAAGTGGCAGACAATCACGTCATGTGTGAACGTAAACAACGAAAAAGGGACCAAATACCCAGGGGCAGGCAGGAGCGTGTTCCCATGAATGCAAATCTGTAGGGAAAGTTCTGGAAGGACACTGCAGTCTTCTCGGTGGTCACCCTTCGCGCTCTCCATCCCGAGACGAGACCCACACCCCCCACCCTCGGGTCCGGCGGGCCCCTCACTGTGCCGACCAGCACGGTGCACGGGGGAGGGGAGCCATCGTCACCAGGGCCTGTCGACAAGCTCAAGCCTCATGTCAAGCAAAACAAACTCTCCCTTCCCCCCGGTCCCTCCAGGAGGTGGGCCCCCTGAGCCTCCTCTCCGACGGTGCCACTTGGGACCCTCGATCGTGAGCAGCTGTTTCCGGAGCCTCACGTACTAGGAAAGGGAAGGGACTTCTGGGTGGAAGCGGGAGGCGCGTCAGCCTAGCCCTCTGCGGTGACGACGAGATCCGGCCACCTCCCTCCTGTGTCCCCTCCCTGGGGCCGGCACCCCAGAAGAGACAGGTGGGGCTGCTCTCTGGCCCCCCGACAGAGAGCCTCGGCTGGCGCAGTCTGGACACCAGACATTTCTCCCTCGCGGCCTTGGTGGCTGGAGCCCACGATCCACGTGGGGGCTGGGCACCTCCCCCCAGGCCTCTCTCCCGGGCACCCACACGGCCGTCTTCCCCCCCACCCTCACGGGCTCGTCCCTCTGCGTGTGTCTGTGTCCCCGTCTCTCCCTACGAGGATGCCACTTGTATCAGATTAGGGTCTACCTCAAGGTCCCCCTTCAACTTAGTCACCCCTTGCACGGCCCTGCGCCCCGTACAGCCCCATTCAAAGGACCTGGGGCTGAGGACTTCAACGTATAAATTTGGGGGAGACACAGTTTAGCCCGTCACACTGGCCCAAGGTGGGAGAAGGGGGGTCGGGCCCCTTTGGTTTCTGTAGCGAAAGCCATTGCCGTGTTCCATGACGACCGCTCTCAGTGGGGCCCCCCGGGGAGAATGGGGTGCTGGTAAGAGGGGGAGGGGCTCCGGGCAGCCGGGACCACCGCTCACTGCACCTGCACAACAGGGATTCTTAAGAGGACTAGTGATTCAAGAAGACTTTTCTTATTTCTACCAGAAGCGACCAGGCTTCTGTCCCCAGCCCCAGCCCCTGAAATTACTCAGGCAACGACCGCGACACTTCCCGAGGGCCACACCAGGCTTCCCACAGCATCTGCACTGGGACACCTGCTCCACGAAGAGGGGCTCGGGCGCCGGGTTCCCTCTCACCCCCTCCTCCCCAGCCTGCTCTGTCAGCAGCTCTGTTTTTGTACACACAGCGAAAGTGGCGGCGTGCCAAGCCTCCGTCCCTGCCCTCCCACCGGCCGCCCCTTCCGCTCCCCCTTCCTCTTTCTCAGCCTCCGGTAGCGGGAGCTCCCCTGCCCTCCATCTGGACCTGGGCCCTCGGGGGGGCTTCACCAGGGCATCTGGAATCACAGGGAGGAGGCTGTGTGCATTGGCGCTCTTATTTCAAATTATCTGAGAAAGTGTATTGAGAAAGTGGCAGAGGCGGTGATACGTGAGCCAGCTGGGCTGCGTGGGCTCAGGGAACCAGGCACAGAGGCCGCCGAGGGCCCTGGAGGGGAGGGGAGGCCGAGGCGAAGGTAAAGCCGGGCAAGAAGGGGGCGGGGGCAGAGAGGCGGGGGCGCTTCCAGAGGGCGGGCACCTGCGCCTGCTTTTCCCCTGGGAGATGCGCCCACAGCTTCCATCAGGGGCTGAAAACGCCCACGGTGTCGGGGACTCCAAAACGTGTGTTTGGTCCAGACCTGCCTTCGGGGCTCCGAGCCCCGTGCCCCTCGCCTGAGGGACACCTCCCCTGAAATCACCACCATCCCCCGCCCCGACACCGACCCTGGCCTGCACCCGGCGCTCCGGCCGCACATCCTGGGCCCCCCCCCCCCCGCCTCCTGGCTGCCTGCAGCCGAGGCCCGGCTCCGCCAGACCCTCCCGCCCGCCCCCACGGCCCCACGCCCGCCTGCGTCCTGCCCTCTCTGCCTCCTCCACGCCCCCCGCCCCCCCCCCGCCCGTGCAGCCCCTCCGCTTTGACAGGACCCCGTCTCTCACCGGGGCTGTGGCAGCGCCCGGCCCGCACTCCCCTCCGCCTGCAGCCTCTCCCCTCCAGCCTGGTTCCCGGCCCGCGGAGTCGCTTTAATAACATGTGAAACTGGTCAGGTTATTCGACAGCCTAAAATCTCGATGGTCGGTTCCCCGTTTCATAACACGGCCTCTGAGAGCAGGCCGGGGAAGCTCGTGCTCTTCTCCGCGGCCTACACAGTCCTTCGGGACCACCCAGGGCCCGCGCATGCAGAGCCTGGAATGTTCCAGGCCCTGTGGGGCCACAGCGGCTGCCAGGGGAACTGATTCCTGCCCGCGAAGACCTCAGCCCACAGATGCAACAGAGGGCTCAGGTGCCACCGCCCAGCTCGGGAAGCCGGAGCCCTGCCTCGTATTTGGCACTCGCAGCTGCGGCCAGAGGGCTTGGGCCCAGACAGGGAGCAGACGGCACATTGTCTCGGCAGCCCGGGGGGTGGCGCTGCCCCGTTTCACAGACGGGGAGACTGAGACCCAGAGGGGCCGGGTGGGGAAGGTGAGCATCCATCCCACCCGCCTAACCCGCTGGGGGCCGCGTGGCACCCGCTGGTCTCGGATACCGCGCCCAGCTCTGCAGACGCGACGGCCCCTGTCATGCTTTTGTGACCCCGCGAAGCGCCTTGTGTTCTGTGTGGACTCTGCCCCAGACGGAATCGGGGAATTTCATAAACACTCTCAGAGACGCTCACCTGGAGGTCTCCCCGGGGCGGCTGGGGGGCCTGGGGACAAGGACGGTGACCTTGGTGGGGGAAGACGCTGTGCCGTGCCCCTCGCTCCGCTGTCCCGGGAAAGGGAGGGCAGGGCGCCGGGGACCGGCCCTCCAAGAGCGCCCCGTGCCTCGCCTACTTGCCTTTGCCCATCCTGGATGGTCACCCGGCCACCTCCCAGCAACTCTCGGCGTGCGGGCCGCCCTTCGTGGAGACCGAGGGCCCCGCCCGCACTCGGCAGCCAGCCGGCCTGTCCCCGCCCGGCCAGCGTGCCCCCTACACCGAAGGACCCACACAGAAGGTGAGCCCGGAGACCATGAAAGCTCTGAGAAGGAAAGCCAGACCGAAGGCTCCCAGGGCAGAGAGCCACGCAGACGAGCGGGGGGAGGGGCGTGGGGGGGCAGCCTGGAGTTGCTCTCGGCTTCCGGGTTCCAGGTGGGCGGCAGAGACTTTGGACACGCGCCTGCATTTTGCAAGACGGAAAGGAAGCCCTTGAGGGGCTGCTCAGGAAGGGCTGCCGGCTCTCCCCGCGGGCGCTCCGCTCAGCCCCCAGCCGGCGGGCGCGGGTGGCTCAGCGCGGGGAATTCCCGGACAAGGGACTCTCCTCAAAAGCAAAACAAAAACTGAAACCCAAGGAGCGGTTATGGGTCGAGGACAGTGAAGGCTGACGTCAAAAGCCAGGTTAAGCACTTGGCAAAGCCACGCTCGACCGCTTCTTATCTGCAAAGCAGAGCAAGCCTGAGCCCGGGGTGGGGTGTGGAGAAGGGAGAGATACCCACAAGCTTCCGCTGAAGATGACTGCAGCCTTTGCACAAGAGAGCTTTATCATGTAGAAAGCCTGGGAACAGAACAATCCGTGCCCACAGCGTTCCCCTCAGTCTGCAGAACTCGCTTGCGCTTCATCTAACCGACCCCCACAAAGTAAACGCGGAGACGGTGGTCACTGTCATTGTCTCTCCATCAGGGGACAAGGTCCCACCTGGGCCACGCTTTTCTCTAAATCGTCTTGTGTTGGGTTGTGTTGTCCTTTCTCAACCTCTTGTCGCTCTCACGCCGGGACCCCCACTCCGCGCGGGTCGCAGCAGGTCTGTGGCTTCTGGCCGGGAAGGGACGTCCGACGACGCAGCGCCAGGAGCCCCCAGGCCACACCCGCCTGCGGCTCAGCCGCGGGGCCGTTTGGTTTTCTGTCTGAGACCTGGAGGGTGCGCGCGTGTGCTCCCCGGCATCTGGAGAACAGAGTGGACGCCAACGCGCGCACCACGACCCGGCCTCCCCGCGCCTCCACCTCCTCCACCAGGAGCCCGGAGCGGGCCCTCAGGGCCGGCGAGTGGCAGCTGCGGTCACCTGCGGCTCCGCTGCCACTGGGCGCGGCGGAGGTGCCGGCGGAAGGAGATGCCCAGGGCGCGCCGCGAGGGTACGCAGAGCTCCCGGCCTGGCCCAGCCTCGCGGCTGACCCCCGCCCTCCACCTCTCCTGTGCTTCCTGCTTTTCCCAGGGCCCGCCTCTCCCCCACGGCCAAGGTTTCTTTCCACAGACGTTGGGAGTCGTGGGCTCAAATTCGCACCAAGAGGCTAGGAGAGGGCGTGGGCATTTTTAACTTTGAAAGAAAATGTTGGTGGAGATAACAGTGCGGTGAGGGACGCCTGCCCCCCACCCCCCGTTTGTAAGCAGCCCGGCTGCCTAGGAGTCTGGGCCCAGCAGGGAGCAGAAGGTCTGAGAGGGAGACGGGAGACCCCCGGGGACCACCCTCCTTGCCCTGGCCTCGCCCACGGGGTCAGGCTCACCCTGCCTTGGTGCCGGGAGGGGCAAGCGCCCTGAGATTTCTCAGGGAGCCCCTCAGACTGTCACCAGGGCCCACACGGGACAAGGACTCACCCCGCCTCAGCTTCCTCTCCAGGCCCCCACCCTCCTGCCACCCAAGGCTCACGTGCCCAAGGTCAGACCAAAAATCAATGATGTTCCCAGAACAGGAGCCTGTTGAGTAACAGGGCTCCGGGGAGGCTGTGTCACTTCCTCTCTGCAGTCGGCGAGTGCCGCAGGGCTCCGGCTGCCGCGGCTCACTCGCCCGCTCTCAGGGACAGCATGTGGCCGCTGCGGCTGCTCACGGCTCTGCTGCTTCTGGGTGAGTCCACGCTGCCGGCGGAGGGTGCCCAGGGACCGGGCCAGGGGCGGCCCCTCCCGCGTCTGCAGCCCTGAGCTGAGCTCCCAGGCCTGAGCACTAGAGAGCAGAGAAGGCCGGTTCCAGCGCCCTCCGGCCGCGAAGGGGCCTGGGACGTCTCTGGCGCGTCCCACCCGTCGGTGGGAGGGCAGGGACCAGGTGGTCCCTGAGGCCTGTCTCTCCCGCGGGGCCGTCCAGTGTCCTCCCTGAGACTTTCGGTCTCCACTCTTTCCTGAGGGCTTGGGGCGCCGTTGTCTGGGGATTTCTTTCCAGGAACGTCAATCCGTACCCTTAATCTGGGGTTGGAACAGGGGCCGAGGAGGGAGGGGGCGGTGCTGAAAGCAGGGGTCTGGGTGGACCGGACGGCTGGGGGGCAGGAGGCACGGGCATTGGAGACCGCCCGCCCTGGGAGCGCGGGCAGGCGGGCGGTCCCAGGTGCCCGCCTGTGCGCCACGGTCATCTCCCTCTTCTCTCCTGCAGCTGCGGTGGGCACACGAGCTGGTGAGTGGGCTTTCAGGGCGTCGGACGGAGGGCGGGAGGCCCCAGACAGAGACGCCACAGGCTGCGGCCACAGCTGGCACGGGGCGGGCAGGGCGGCTGCCGCCGCAGGGCGCTTCCCCTGCCGGTCTTCCCCGAGGGAAAGAGTGGCCCAAGGGGGCCAGGTGCCTCCAAACAGGGCGCCCCAAGGCCCGGTCCCAGAGGAGCGCGGGTCCGCAGGCCGACCGACCCCACGCGCGCCCCCAGGAATGCAGGGTGGGGCCGGCTCACCTCCGCCCTTGCCCGCCTGCCCTTGTCTCCTCAGAGGACCACCCGAAGGCCGTGGTGACCCTGGACCCTGAGTGGGACAGGGTGCTTCGGGACGACAAAGTGACGCTGAAGTGCCAGGGGAGCCACACAGAGGACGGCCCCACACAGTGGTGGCACAAGGAGCACCTCCTGCCGAGCCAGGCCCCCAGCTACTCCATCGAGTCGGCCAAAGTCAACGACAGTGGGGAGTACAGCTGCCAGTCTCCGGGCACGCAGCGCAGCGACCCCGTGCGGCTCCAGGTCCACGCCGGTGAGCGGCTGCGGGGAGGGGCAGCGTCGCCAGGAGCCGGCGACAGCGCGGGGCGGGGCGGCTGGCGAGGGGCCGGAAGGGGCTGCTCTGGGGGTCAGAGCCCGGAGGAGGTGACCCGTGGTCCCTCTGAGCTACCTCAGCGTCGCAGCCCCGCCACCCGCGGCCACCGAGTGAGACTCTGAGGCTCACGAGTGCACTTTTGCGCCTGTTCACGAGTCTGGTCTCAGACCTCCGCTTCGTCCTCACTCTCAGACCGTCGAGCCCCAGCTGCCCCCACCCCAGCCCTGATGGCCCAGGGTTCCACCTCTGTCCCATCAATGCCACACGCAGACTTACAGCGTTGCTGGGACCACTGCGGGCCTCCTGGTGCCCGGAGGCTCGTTCGCCGGCGCCTCAGCTGCGGCATGAAAGGCTGTGTGCTGTGCGCAGCTCCCAGGCACCGAGCAGGCCAGGGGGATGCGGGCAGATCTCTGCGGAGTCCCTGCCTGGGTGGCGGGAGGGTGGGGGCCTGGAGGGGAACCTGCCGTTGTGCCCCCCTGACCCCTGCACGGCCCCCCCACGGAGGCAAGGGACAGGGCGGCGCCCGGGGGGAGGAGGGCCTCGCATGGGCCACACGCAGCCGCCCGGGGAGCTGGGCCCCTGCAGCTGGTTTTGTGGCCCCGTAGTGGCCGGCTCTCCGCCGAGCTGGCGTGTCCTTACACACCAGTTGCAGGAGGGGCGTCTGCGGTCCGGCCAGGAGAGAGACGGCCCCCTGACCGAGTATGTAGGGCGTTGCCAACAGGCAGCAGGAGAAAAATTCAGCCCGGGGAGTTGTTGGTTGGCCTGGAACTCGGCTCCGTGGGCTGGCCTCCCAGGTCCGGCCAGGGAGGCCTGTGGTAAACTGCGACCGCTGCGGCCGGCGTCCCCCGGCCAGGCCGGTCGCGGCACTCAGTCCGCCTCTCTGCGCTGAGGCTCCTCCCTCTCCTTGAGTCTCTGGGGGCAGCTCTCCCTGGCCCCACAGTCCTTTGATCTTAGGTTGCGTTGCCAGGGCTGCTTCCTGTCGCGATCATTTCTGAGTTCATCTCTCCCCTCTTTGACCTCTATCCTGAGCTCCCCACAACCGCATCCGCCGCGGCCCCGGAGGCCTCGTTCCTGGCTGCTGCAACAGTCTTTCAACATCCCTGCAAACTTTCTGTTCCTTCTGAAGGCTACCCTTTCCTTTAAGGAGGCTGATCTCCGTTTTCAAACGCAGTGTTGCCTCTTTGATCTAGAACACGCTGCGCGCTCCTCGCTGGCGGCCTGCGCAAAGCAGGGCCGGCCCCCTCGGGCAGGTGGCTTCTCGCCTGCCGGGCCACGGATCCCTCCGCCCTGGCCAAATCCCTAATCACGTGTGTGCCCCTGTGCCCCGTTAGACAGAAGGTCTTGGTGTGGCTTGAGCTCTCGCACAGGCCCGGGGGTGGGGGGCGCTGGTGGGAAGGGCTCCCCATCTGCCGTCCACCTGGGGATCTGGCGGCCAGCGCTGTGCCAACCGCCGCGGCCGCCGGGCCTGTGCTCTGTGTCTTCCAGTCTGGCTGCTGCTCCAGGCCCGCCACTGGGTGGTCCAGGTGGGGGACTCCATCCGGCTGAGGTGCCACACCTGGAAGAACTTTCCCATCTACAAGGTCCAGTACTTCCAGGACGGCGTAGGCAAGCAGTACACCTACCAGTATTCTGACTTCTACATTGAAAAGGCAACAGCCGCGCACAATGGCTCCTACTTCTGCAGGGGCCTGATCGACAATCGTCGGAACGAGTCTTCGGAGGCCGTGTATGTCACCGTGCAAGGTGAGGAGGCTGTGGGCCCCCTGGCCCGGGCCCGGGGCACTGGGGAAGCCACAGGCCTCTTGGAACCCCGGTCCCTGTAACTAAGACAGCAGGCACGTGCTGGGCTCCGTCCGTGGGCTGCGCGCTGTGCTGAGTGCCCCCTGACCTGGGACCCCCGCCCCTGACAACGTGACGGGACAGGCACCCCCAACTCCCTGGCACCGACAAAGAAGCCGAGGTGGGAAAAAGTGGGTCGCGGACCAGCCCCTCAGGTCACACGCAATAAAAGGAAAGAATCAGACGGGCACCCGTGCCGTCTGGCAGAGGTCTGTCCAGGTTCTGTGGCGCACCCCAGGGTCAGAGCCCTTGCCACACGCGCGTGCGGCCACACGCTGCTCCCGGACTCCCGGATGCCGCAGGCGTGCCCTGTAACCAGACTGAGGCCACACGGCAGACAGACACACAGCTTCCGAGACTTTAACAAAACAAAGCCATACTTTGTGTGACAGTAATTTCATTGCAACTTACATGTGTAGAAGTCAACACTCTCAACTGGTGAGGGAAAGAAGGCACAAACGGTGAAGCAAACGCGTCAGCCAACAATTAGTAAATGTAGGTAATATATATATATATGAGAGCTCGTTGAATTGCTCTGGGAACTTTTTGTCAGTTTAAAATTAAATCGAAGTTAAGAGTTAAAAAAATAACTGAAATTGAAAATCCAGTCTAATATTACCAGTTTGTAGACAACAGCAAGGAATGAGTTTTCAGGAACAGTATCCCGGGCCAAGAGGGGAAGAACCGACAAGCCCCACCTTGTTCCCTTTGGGGTGATGAGTTCCTGGGCCTAGAGAAGAACTAGTGTCCATATTCTGCCACTAAGTAGCACATTTCGATGGTTCACTTCGCTTTTCAGATTTCCTTTAGTGACAATGAACCGGAAGGGGTGAGAACAATGAGTATGATTTTGAGACCCAAGATAAAGTCACTGAATTAAGAAATAGTGTTCTCACACCAACGTAAATGTCAACGACTTTCATAGATTCACACCAGACCTCCGGGGAACAACTCCCCTCGGCGGGAAGCTGCTTCTGCTGCGGTTGGGAGGGCTGGGCGGGCGCAGCTCCCCGGTGGGGAGCTCTGGGAGGAAGCGGAGGCTTCCTGCCAACCCGACCCCGTCGGCTTGGTTGCCGCTCCGCCAGTGGCCTTCCCTTGATGCCAAGTGTCTGCCCTGACAGCTGCCGCCCTCCTGCCCCTCTGCCTCTCCTCGTAGGCCTCCGCCCGCTCACCTCCGTCCCTGCCCCCTTCGGGAGACTGGTCACCATCTCCCTGGCAGTGGGGCTCCTGTTTGTCTTGGACACGGGGCTGTATTTCTCTGTGTGGAAAGACCTTCAAAGCTTATTGAAAAAAAGGGAGGAAGGCGGTCACATGAAGTAGGAGCCCTGAGGACACGCAGCAGCAACCACCGCAGAGCCTCCGACCCCCTCGCTGCGTCCATGGTCTCCACCCCCCACCTCTGGGAACAGCAGGACACCCCCGCCCCCCGCCAGAGTCTGGGCCCGGGGGGCTTTTACCAGCTCTGCTTTCTCTTGGTCTCCAATGAAAAGAGAAGGCTTGGTTTTTTAAAAACATTACTGTCGTTTTTAGTGCTCAATCTGGTTTCTAACTTTTGCTTCTAATTATTGTTGACAGACACCGTTCGGTTAGTGTTAGGTAGACAACACCGTGATTCAGCGCGGAGCGTGCTTTACAAAGCGGTCAGAGGGCCAAGCGCGGACCCCTGGGGGCTGGGAGGTCTCGCAGCTGTCCAGCCACCCGTCCCAGCCCAGCGACAGCCCAGCCCCTGGACAGCGACCCTTCGCGCGTGAACGCTGTTCTTCAATAACCAGAGGCGGGGATGAGAGAACGCTTCACGGCCAAGAGCCAGCAGCCTCGGGGCCTGCGGCCTGCGGCAGGGCCGGGCCACCCCGGAACTCCTCGGGCCGCCTGTGCGAACTGCCTGCCGGGGGCCCTGGGCAGGCTGGGGGGCACCCCGCCGGCTGCCCTCCTGGTGAAGGGGGGGCGGTGTAAGAGCGAGGCTGTACCCGTGGTCCGGGCGGGGATGGTCTGCACCTGCGCGATGCGGACGGCCCTTCACAGCCGGAGGACTGGGCCCGGGAAAGAACGGCGTGGGGGACGGGGGAGAGTAGCGCAGAACCGCCTTGGCCTGGGCGGAGAGCCGCATGCTGTCCCAGACCGAGGGCGGCGCGGAGGCCTCGGGCCGGCGAGACAGCGCGGCAAGGAAGAGTCAGCCCCGGGAGGGAAGGGCGGCGAGGACCCTCTGTCGGCCCGGACGGAAAGAACCAGAAAGCAGAGGGGCAGGGACCGGGAACCGGGTCCTCCGCTTCACTGACGCAGGTCCAGCTTTGCTGACCTCGCTCGGATGACAAATGTTGGACAAGCAGACTGGATGGACTGAACCGGAGGGAGGTCAGCTGTGACCTTCTGGGTCCCTCTGCTCCTCCTGGGGCGCGGGCGCGGGGATCCGCCTCCTCTGTGCAGGAAAGCTGGAGCGCTGCCTTCCTGCTTTCCAAGTTCCCAACAGGACGTTTTTTGACTCCAGTAAAGCATTTTACCACATATGGCTCGCTCTTCTCCGATAGAGGGTGGAAAACCCATGGTCCTAAAACCTGAACGGCAAAGTCCTGCTCGCCTCCTGCTCGCCTCCTGCCCGCCAGGCCGACGAACACCGCTCTCCACCAGCGGCCGTCTGGCCACAGCTGCTGGGAACGGCTCAGCGGGCCGACTCCCCACCTGTGCGCGGGGCGGAGGGGGCGGAGGGGGCGGTGGCTGCAGGTGTGGGGCGGGCGGGGGGGGGGGCAGCAGAGGCGGTTCGGGGCGCGGCAGGAGGCAGAAGGCACAGGGGGAAGGAGGCCGGCCCGAGCAGAGGCGCGGGGCCGGCCGCCTCGGCCTGGGGGCGCCGTGCACCGGGACGCCTGGGGCTTGCTGTGGGGACCGAGGCGCTGCTCGGGCCGCGGCCCGTGCACTTGGAAGTCCTGGACACTCAGTTCACGCTTACCGGGCACCCACGCGGCGCCAAGCTTGAGTTTAGGCGCCGAGACACCCGAAGGGACAACCCAGGACCCCTCCTCGGGGAGAGGCTCCCGCCGCTAGAAGAGCTCCTGCCGGGGGAGCGCGCGGCGGTGAAGGCAGAGGGGAGGGAGGCCGCCAGAAAGGGTCGCCAGAGGGAGGAGCGGCCCCGAGGGCTGCAGGAGGGACCGGCCGGCGTCTCGGAGGCCTCTCCGCCGCTGCTTACGGGGCGGGAGGAGCGGAGGGCCGAGCACGGGGGCGGCCAGGCGAGCGACGGTGCGCGCTGCTCCGGTGCGCGTGGGGGCAGACCTGCCCCGGGCGCTGGGTGCTCCCCTGCGCGCCCCGCCCGGGCCGCGGGTTTGAAGACGCCGGTGGAGGGGAAGCAAGGTCGGAATGGCTACCGGGGCGCAGATTTCGGTTATGGGCACTCACTTCACCGGTCGGTCAGGTCCCCGCAAAGCGTCTGGGCCGGCGGCTTCCTGGGGTGCGTCTCCCAAAAGAGGCCGCGGGTGTCGGGGTGGAGACCCCGGGGCTCAAAACGGAGGCCCGCGTCCCTGGGTGGGCTCGAACCACCAACCTTTCGGTTAACAGCCGAACGCGCTAACCGATTGCGCCACAGAGACGGGCGAGTGTCTTTGCCGCCGCCGAGCCACTTGAGTGAAGAATCAGGGCGTAGCGTCACGTCCCGGAACCGCGGCGGCTGCGAAGGTTTGGGAGCTGCAGGGGGCGGTCCCCGCCAGGCGCGCGGCTGCAGCGCGCCCAGCGGGCCTCCTCCCGCGCCGCCACCTGCGGGGATCCGGAGGACCAGAAACGGGGCGGCAGGGGTGGATGCACCGGGGGTCTTTGGTGAGACCCAGGCGAGCGCCCCGCTGTGGGTTCTGCTCAGAGTTCTTGCCGATTTAGACCATTTATGAATTCCTGTGTACACGTGCGAGAATTAACGCATACTATTTTTATTGTGAACATTTTTAAATACCAGTGGCGTCCAGCAAAATATAAAATCTAAGTAAGGGAGTGTGATATCACAAATTATTCGTCTACCCCGGCTGTTCTGAAAGGGTCCCGCCGGTGCGTGAGGCGCCCACACTCCGTAGATATCCCTGTGGCTTCAACACGTCCCCACGGTCACAGGTCACAGAGGATCCAGATCCCGGAGGGCAGAGCCCCCCTTTCCGACATCATCCCCGCGCGCTCGCTGCCTGTGTCCCCGATGACCGAGGGCTGCGAGAGAACGGAGAGGCGCTTCTGTCTTTGTTGCTGGGACATTTCACGGCCACAGGCTTCCCGAACCACGTCCCCTCCCCCACGGGGGCGTCTCCAGCCGCTCGCCGCATCGGTTCTTCGCTGCACCGGGCGCACCAGCCGCGTCTTCTCGGTGGTCCCGTCCAGACCCCTGCGAAGCCTCCACAGGAACCTCCGTCTCCCTCCCGCACCGCCATCTGGTCCCAGCGCAGGCCAAGGCCTTCGGCCCTGTCCAGCGAAGTGAAAATGCCTCGTTCGGGGAAACCAAACCTGCAAATAAGTCTCTGGTGTCCTTGGCGGACCCTTGACCTGGGGCCCACCGGGCAGAGACTCCAGGAGGCCGGGAGGACACAGTAGCCAGAGGCTGCAGGCTGCGTGAATCCAGCAGAGGGTTCAGGAGCTGCCTCCCCGAAGGGGACGAAAGCCCTGGAAACGACACAACCGTTCGCGGAGGCAGCTGGAAGGTGCGACACACCGCGATCAGTTAAATAATGTTTCAGACTCATAGCTAATGAGTATAGACATCTCCACATTTTAAATAAACACTGAAGTGGGTTTAAAAGAAACATAGGCACAGCACGATTCCAATTTTGCGTTTTAAAACGCCAGAGGGAAGGTTACAGCAAACTCTGAATCAGGATTTCCAGGATGGTTAAACACAGGGCGGCCTTCGCTTTCTCTGCGAGTCGGTGGCTCCCCGTGTTGTGCGCGGGGACCGTGCATCAATCACCAGGACGTCCAGGAAAAGCGTCTCTTTGAAGACGAGCCTCAGCTGCGGGGCCCGAGCCGGTCCAGGGCGACGGCCCAGCCGCGCGGCAGGCGGGAGGCCGAACCCAGGGAAGCGGAGAGCACGCCGCGCGCCGGCGGTAAAAGCAGGCACCTGCCGCCGGCGAGCCCACTTTTCTCTGCGCCGCCGGCGCGGACTTCAAGGCTCTCTCTTTCCCCCGAGCGAGTCAGGGGAAGCCCTGACGCCGGTTCCCGCGCCCCGGAGCGCGCGGGTCGCCGGCGCGCGAGACAGACGACAAGGAAAGGCCCGGGGGCTTGGAGTCCGGGGCCCAGGGTGGGGACGGCGCCCGGGGCTCCCCTCCGGTGTGCTGCGGGGCTGGGCACGAAAAGGCCCGCCGGCGGCGGCACGCGTTTCCCGCGGTGCCGGGGCCAAAGCCGCGCCCACCAGGTCTGTCGCCCATCTTACGCCAAACTCTCCGGGGAAAGACGGACCTTAGAGAAAACCTGGAGTTAAGGGAGAAGAGTAATGTTTGTTTCAAAAGAGGGAGGCTTAGACAAAGTTCTGGAGATGGGAGAGGAAGGAGGGGGAAAGAAAAAGGACCAGCTGCCTCCCCGTCGGGGAATCGAACCCCGGTCTCCCGCGTGACAGGCGGGGATACTCACCACTATACTAACGAGGACGGCGGGAAGTGGGCGCGCGCTCGCCGCCTACGAGGCCGTCCGCGCGTCTGCAGACGTTCGCTCTGCTGCGCGCGCTGCCGGTGAAGGCGCTTTCTTGGCGTCTAGACCCGGCGGCCGCTGAAAGGGCCTGGGAGCGGGTGGCAACGTGCACTCCTAGCAGCCGCATTAAAGAGCCAGCGGAGGCGGCTGACCATGTCCACAATCGATCTTGCCCAACCCACTGCATGTGAAATAGCAGACTCGTTAAGGAGAGTTGTTCGTGCGCAGTCTTCGCACCGGTGGGCATGCTACACTTGCGCACAACACAGTTGAGCTCGGATGTTAATTTTTCATGGGAGAAACTTGGTGCGGACTCATGTCCTAAACTGGAAGATGGAAGGAATGGGCTCCATACGCCCAAGCTGCTCCTAACGCGCTTAAAAATCCCCAGGAGAAGAACTGAGGGTACGCTTAAAATTTCCCACTTACTTAAGCCAATGAACACACTGCCCTTACTGGGACGCTAGGCGATTGCGGTGCCCGAGCAGGTGGCCGCGCGAGCCTTGCGGACAGACAGCGTCCCCGCTCAGCGTCTAAAAAACGACACAGAGGGAAGAGAACGTGAGGCGGCGGGAGAAGAAAAACGGTTGCGTTGGCCGGGAATCGAACCCGGGTCAACTGCTTGGAAGGCAGCTATGCTCACCACTATACCACCAACGCCGCTCGGCGACAACTTCCGAGCTCTCGCTCTTGAGCGGAGCGCCGGCCGCTCATTCTCCACACTCGCTGCCTGGTGCCCTGTCTGTGACCCCTCGGCGCCCTCGCAGGGGGACGCATCCCGCCCGTGCGCCCCCTGCCGTCTCCGCTGCGTGGCGCCCCAGCACCGAGCCCCACGGGCGTCGGACGCCAACGACAGTTTGGTGTGGGGGGCGGG